GTAGTAGTAGTATTAGTAGTAGTCGTAGTCGTAGTCGTAGTCGTAGTAGTAGTCGTAGTAGTAGTAGTAGTAGTAGTAGTAGTAGTAGTAATAATAGTTTTTATTATTATTCGTAGTAGTAACAGCAGTAGTAGTAGTAGTCGTAGTTGTACTCGTAGTCGTAGTCGCAGTCGTAACAGTAGTAGTAGTAATAGTAGTAGTAGTAGTAGTAGTAGTAGTAGTAGTAGTAGTAGTAGTAGTAGTCGCCGTACTAGTAGTAGTAGTAGTAGTAGCAGTAGTAGTAGTAGTAGTAGTCGTCGTCGTAGTAGTAGTGGTGTAGTTTTAGCAGTAGTAGGAGCAGTAGTAGTTGTAGCATCAGCCTCGGATTCATTGGCTGATCGTCCACCTTGTCACCTTATAGCTTTGCACCTTGAATCGCGACAAGAGCAGTCCGCCAGTAAATCGCATGTTTCTGGCTCAGCGACAGAAGTACGAGGAGGCTCAGGGTGAGGAGGATGTGGAGGAGGATAGGGGGGAGGATGGACTGGAGGAGGGATGATGACGATGATGGTGATAGCGTCGACGACGATGATGATGTGCTTATGGTGATGGTGGTGTCGCCGCCGCTGGTGATGATTCTGATGCTGATGCTGATGGTGGTGATACTGGCGACGATGATGTTGATGATGGTGTTGGTGGTGGTGATGATGATTATGATGCTGGTCATGATGATGATGATGATGATGATGATGATGCTAATGATGATGGCGGTTATGGTAGTGATGATGATGCTGCTGCTGATGATGCATATTTGTATCGTTCTTATTGTTGTTACTGCGCTTATCCTATTAGCAGGATGACTTCGATCATGCTTATGAGCATGATAGTGGTTCTGATTGTGATCCTGATTTCGGATGGTGATGTCCACTTGGCGATGATGGTAATTATGATGGAAGTGATGAGAATGGTGATGCTGCTCATGATGATGTTCATGATGATGATACTGATGGCGATGATGACGATGCTGATCCTGATGATGGTGCTGATGATGATGATGATGATGATGATGATGATGATGATGATGAGGCCGAGGTTGACGATGCTGGCGACGCTGCTGCTGCTGACGATGATGATGATGATGACGCTGCTGATGATGATGGTGATGGTGATGATGCTGATGATGGTGACGCTGATGATGCTGATGCTGATGATGATGGATATGCTGTCAATGTTGACGACGATGGTGCTGCTGATGCTGGTGATGATGCTGAGGACGATGATGATCATCATGATGCTAATGATGGCGATGATGAGGATTCTGAGTATGATGATGATGCTGATGATGCTGATGATGATGATGCTGTCGCTGATGCTGATGATGCCAATGATGCTGATGATAACGATGATGATGATGACGATGATGATCATGATAATGCTGATGCTGCTGCTGATGATGCTGATGATGAACACGAATAATAATCATAGCAGTGCTAAACATGGGATAACGAATACATGTACTAACGTTAATAATAGCAAGACGAACAACCATATTTTCAATGTGAACATTAATATTCAGAAGATAGGAGTCCTAACACTATCAGGAAGAGTACTTACTTATACCAATAAGATGGGTAACAATGGAACTTACAATGCTAATCAATACTAGCATGCACGATAGTAACAATAATAACGTTACTAATAGTAGCGATACTAAGGAGCATACTTACAATAATGCGAAGACTGATACAACTAATACAACTAGTTGGGACAACACTAATCCATTATTAATCGTCATAACAATAATAGCACTACCACCACTAATAATAAATTCATAATCATATTAAGAAGAAGAGTATGTTGAAGAGACAGAGGACGAGGAATAGGAAGAGGACGAAACAGAGGACGAGGAAGAGGACGAGGAGGAGGAGGGGGACGAGGACGAGGAGGAGGAGGAGGAGGAGAAGGAGGAGGAGCAGGAACAGGAGGGGGATGAGTAGGAGGAAGAGGAGGATGGCGATGACCACGGCGAGGCTTCGGGTCAGAACTTGGGTCTTCGGCGGCCGTTTCTTGACGATCTCGACACTCTCGGACCGCCCTCGGCGAGGCACAGCCGCTGGAGTGCATCCCGTCGGTGGAACTATGCCCAGAAGCTGAAGCCTCGAACCTCGAACCGCGAACCTCGAACCTCGAACCTCGAACCTCGAACGGCGACGGCGACGACGCACCTCGAACCTCGAACCGCGAACCGCGAACCTCGAACCGCGAACCTCGAACCGCGAACCTCGAACCTTGAATCGCGAACCTCGAACCGCGAACCTCGAACCGCGAACCTCGAACCGCGAACCTCGAACCGCGAACCGCGAACCTCGAACCTCGAACGGCGACGGCGACGGCCACGACGCGCGCTCTGCCCGGGGAGGTCCCTGGCGCGCGCTCCCGCGGCGCGCCTCGCACGCAGCCCTGCGGTGGGTGGCGCTGTGGCCGCGGGCGCCTCGCGCCACCTGCACGCGTCGGCGTCGAGGAGCGCCGCGCCGCGCCGCGCGTCGTTGTCGTCGTCGTCGTCGCCGACGTCGAAATCGCCGTCGTCGTCGTCGCCGTCGTCGAAGTCAACGGCGTCGGCGTCGGCGTCGGCGTCGTCGTCGTCGGCGTCGTCGCCTGCGTCTGCGTCGTCCTCGTCCTCGTCGTCGTCGTCGTCGTCGGCGGCGGCGGCGGCGGCGTCGGCGTCGGCGTCGGCGTCGGCGTCGTATTCGTCGTCGTATTTGTCGTCGATTTCGTCGTCGTATTCGTCGTCGTCGTCGTTGTCGTCGGCGTCGGCGTCGTCGGCGTCGGCATCGGCGTCGACGTCGGCGGCGGTGGCGGCGTCGGCATCGGCGTCGTTGACGGCGTCGGCGTCGGCGTCGACGTCGTCGGCGTCGGCGCTGGCGTCGGCGTCGGCGCTGGCGTCGGCGTCGTCGTCGGCGTCGGCGTCGTCGTCGTTGTCGTCGTCGTCGTCGTCGTCGTCGGCGTCGTCGTCGTCGTCGTCGTGGGCGTCGGCGTCGGCGTCGGCGTCGGCGTCGGCGTCGGCGTCGGCGTCGGTGTGTGCGGCGGCGGCGTCGGCGTCGGCGTCGGCGTCGGCTTCGTCGGCGGCGGCGGCGTCAGCGTCGGCGTCGGCGTCGTCGTCGTCTCCGTCGCGTCCACATTTCGTTGCCGTTGCGAAAAACATGGGGCGGCCGGTGCGTGCTTATCGAAGGCGCCTATGGGGAATCACCGCCGCCCCGTGCCTTTCAGTACGTGGCGACACGTTTGGGCAAAGTTTTGCCACGCTATTGGACCATGCGTCCCTCCCCCAGCTGCTGTGGAAGCCCATCGGGGAACACGTGGGGGAGAGAAAGGAGGATGAGGAGAGGGAGGAAAAACAGGAGGATGAGGAGAAGGATACAGAGACCTCTTGGGAGCTCCTTTGGTAATTCTTGGAGCCTCCTGGGAGCTTCCTGGGGGTTCCTTGGAGGTTTCTTGGAGGCCTCTTGGGGGCCTCCTTGGGGGCCTCCTTGGGGGCCTCCTTGGGCCCCTTGGGAGCCTTTGGAAGCTTCTTGGGGGCCGCTTGGGCGCCTCTTTCGGCTGTCTTACGGTGTTCCTGGCCAGTGTGGTGCCGTTGGAAGCCGCCTTCGGAGCCCCTCTGGGCCGTCTGGAGGCCCTCTTGGGGCGCTTCGGGGCCGTCTTAGGACCATCTTGGGCCTCTTGGAGGCCTCTTGGGTCGTCTCGGGGCCCTTGCCCGTCTTGGGAGCCTGTTGGGCCGTCCTGGGGCCATGTCGAAGGCCTCTTGGACGATTTTGGGGCACTGTTGGAGGCCCCTTGGGCCATCATGGACCGTTGGAAGGCCAGTTCGAAGCAAATACCCAAATTCGTCAAGAACCAACCCAACACCTATGATTTTGGCTGCGTCGGGCCTTCTGGAGGTCTTCTTGGAGGCCTTCTGGGCCGTCTTAGGGGCCTCTTGGGCCGTCTTGGCCCATCTTAGGCCGTCTCGGGTGCATCGCGGGCCGTCTTGAAGACATATCTTTGTGCCATCTTGACCTCTCTTGGGGCCATCTTGACCTCCCGGGAGGCCATCTTGGCCGTCTTGGAGGCCATCTTGAGGCGATCTTCAGCGAGAAAGCCGAAGGGAGGTGTGTTGCCCAGAGCTTTCTGGGTGGCCGGCGGGCTGGGCCGAGACACCACGGGGAGTTCTCTTGAGAAGCACCACGACTATGCCAGACGTTCGGCGCGCAGTGCACCCCTGTGGCCAGACCGCAGGGTGCGGCGGATGACGGAAAGCGCGCGTAACGTCGCGATCAGTTAGTCGGGAGAAATAACAAGGGGTGGGGTGGGGTGGTAGGCAGCCGGACCTCCAGATCTAATGGCCCTAATTTTGGCAATTTTCGGCCCAAGACGGCCCAAGGCAGCCCCAAGAGCGCCTAAGAGGCCCCCAAGACGGCTCAAGACAGCCCCAAAAGCGCCCAAGACGGCGTCGGAGAGGTCCAAGCGGGCCCGAAGACGGCCCAAGAGCCCTCCAAGAGGGACCAATATGGCTCCAAGACAGCCCAAGAGGCCCCCAAGACGCCGCAGGAGGCCCCCAAGGGGACTCCCAATATGCAAATATCGACCCATTCCCATCGCATTTTTTTTCGGTTTTTTATGTTTTCGCATATTCGCTTCTTTGGTCTTCACGATGTCCAAGACGGCCCCACGAGGCTCCCAAGGCCGCCCCAGGACGGCCTGAGATGCCCCAAAGAGCGGTCCAAAACGGCCCCAAAGGGCTCCAGTACGGCCGAACAGAGCTCCAAGACGGCCCGAGACGGGTCCCAAGAGAGCCCCGCAAGGTTCCCAAGAGAGCCCCAAGAGGGCTCAAGAGGCCATAGGAGGTCCCCAAGAGCGCCCCCAGAGAGCCCCAAGATGGCCCAAGCCCGGCAAAAAGCCCCAAGACGGCCCAAACGAGCCCCAAAAGGATCCCCAGGAAGGCCCGGAAATGCAATGTTAATTGATTTTCGAAAGGCTTTTTGTTAGATTTTGTATGTCGTGCCAAAGCCTTCACAGAAGCAGAGCTCCAGGACACTAGCCAGCGACCTCGCGCCCTCGCAGAGAGAACCCGCGCTTTCCGTCCCCATGCCAAGCAGGTAACGGAAAGAGCGAGGTATGACTGATGACGTTCTGGTGGGGCGAGGCCCTCCAGGGAGGGGTCCGGGGGAGGGGCGAGGCGGGCACGCCCCGGCGTCAACGGCCGCTGGGGGGGCGTTTCCTTCGTAGTTTTTTGAGTGAAGCGGCTCGCGGGCGCCTTCCACGGCCCGTTTCCTCCTATTTTTCCGAGTGGAGCTGCTCGAGGGCCCAAGACGGCCAGAGGGCACCAAAACGACCCAAAGAAGGCCCCAAGAGAGCTTCGGATGGCCTCCAGACGGTTCAAGAGAGCCTCGAGACGGCTCCAGAGACCCTCCAGAGGGCTCTCGAGAGGGCCTCAGGAGCTCAAACATTTTATTTTCCCGAGGGTTTTTGAAGGTTTTTCGGGTTCTCGCCTTCTCGGGCCCAGATGGGCCCAACACTGCCGATGATGTCCCACAGCTCGTCCCAAGACGGTCCCAGAGGCCCCCCAAACGGTACGAAAAAAGTACGAGGGGGCCCCAGACGGCCCCAGAGGGGCCCAAAACGGCCTCAAAGGGCCCCACGACGGCCCAAGAGGGCCCCAAGACGGCCCGAAGAGAGCCCCACGAGTGCCCAAAGAGGCTCCCAAGAGGGCCCCAAGTGGCCCCCAAGAGGACGCCCCAAGACGGCCCAAGACGGCCCAAAAGGACCCCCAGACAGCCCAACATTGCCCCCCAAAGGGCCCCCAAATGGCTCCAAAAGGTTCCAAGAAGACCCCGACGAGGCCCAAAGACCCCGACGAGGCCCAAGCTCTTCACACCAAGGCTCTCAAGAGCGAATGGTGCCATGAGCCATCTCGGGCAAGTTCCTGAGGCGCTCTTTCCGTTTTCGTGCCGGCCCAGGTAATGGAAAGAGCGAAATATGAGTGATGACGTTCTGGTGGGGCGAAGCCCTCTAGGGAGGGGTCCAGGGGAGGGGCGAGAGCCGCGTGTTGCTGCTTTTTCATATTTTTTCGGGTGAACCGGCTTCCCAACCACCTTGTGTTGTTGAGTTTTCGTTTTGGAGAGACGGTCCCCGCGTTCCCTCCTTCCTTCCTTCCTTCCTTCCTCCTCCTCCCTTCTCCTTCTCCTCCTCCCTTCTTCTTCTCCTCCTCCTCCTCCTCCTCCTCCTCCTTCCCCTCCTCCCGTTCCTCCTTCATTTCGTGGCCCCATAGGGAGCTCCACCGAAGGCTCCAGTGGGACCGCCCGCATGTCCAGCACAGCATTTCGTGGCCCCATAGAGAGCTCCACCGAAGGCTCCAGTGGGACCGCCCGCATGCGTCATCCACTACCCAGTACAACAGCGTTTCGTGGCCCCATAGGGAGCTCCACCGAAGGCCCCAGTGGCACCGCTCACCCACCACTTAGCACAGCGTTTCGTGGCCCCATAGGGAGCTCCACCGAAGGCCCCAGTGGCACCGCCCGCATGCGTCATCCACCACCCAGTACAGCGTTTCGTGACCTCATAGGAAGCTCAACCGAAAGCCCCAGCATTTCGGGGTCCCATAGGGAGCTCCACTGAAGGCTCCAGTGGGACTGCCCGCATGCGTCACCCACCACCCAGTACAGTGTTCCGTGGCCCCATCGAGGGCTCCACCGAAGGCCCCAGTGGGACCGCCAGCGTGCGTCATCCACCACCCAATACAGCGTTTCGTGGCCCCATAGAAGGCTCCACCGAAGGCCCCAGTGGCACCGCCCGCATGCGTCATCCACCACCCAGTACAGCGTTTCGTGACCCCAAAGGGAGCTCCACCGAAGGCCCCAGTGGGACCGCCCGCATGCGTCATCCACCACCCAGTACATCGTTTCGTGACCCCATAGGAAGCTCCACCGAAAGCCTCAGTGGGACCGCCCGCGTGCGTCATCCACCACCCAGTACAGCGCTTCGTGGCCCCACAGGGGGCTCCACCGAAAGCCCCAGTGGGACCGCCTGCATGCGTAATCCACCACCCAGCACAGCATCTCGTGGCCCCATGGGGAGCTCCACCGAAGGCTCCAGCATGTCGGGGCCCCATAGGAAGCTCCACTGAAGGCTCCAGTGGGACTGCCCGCATGCGTCATCCACCACCCAGTACAGCGTTCCGTGGCCCCGTAGAGGGCTCCACCGAAGGCCTCATTGGGACCGCCCGCATGCGTCATCCACCACCCAGTACAGCGTTTCGTGGCCCCATAAAGGGGCTCCTCGGCTCCACCGAAGGCCCCAGTGGGACCCCCCGCATGGTATCCAACATCCAGTACAGCGTTTCGTGTCCTCCGTGGCGGAACTCCCATGGCGGCCCAGGGGGGGAGGTCGCATGGCGGCGAACTTCGATTTCCAGAGGTTTTTCGTCGTATTCGTGGTGTTGAGGCCGCTTTCGGGCCGCGCATCCTGGGCGGGAGCCAGCCTGCTCGC